AAGAAGCAAAACAGATGAACAAAGGGGGGAGAAAGAGAGAGAGAGGCAAACTGTAAAACAGACTCTTAACTATAGAGAACAAACTGAGGGTTGCTGGAGGGAGGTGTGCAGAGGTGGGGTGGGGATATGTTAATGGGGATTAAGGAGGGCACTTGTGGTGATGGGTACTGGGTGTTATATGTACATGATGAATCACTAAATTCTACTCCTGAAACCAATATTACACTGTATGTTAACTAACTAGAATTTAAATAAATACTTGAAACAAACAAAATTGATGTTAAAAAAATAATAAATACATAAATACCACTGAAGACCATAGATCCTTGTTTCCATTTAAGAATGTTGTTAGACTGGTTTCCCTTAAACCTGTGAAGAATAAAAAACCAGAGCTTTCTGTAATTCTTCTTTTGTTCGTGAACTGCATTCTTCACTGTCTGAAGGAAATACTGAAGTGTAACAATTATAGCATTTTTGGCCTCTTTTAAGAGGCCCTTCTTGAGATGCATAAAAAGCATCAAATGAAAAGCATTAAAAATCTCAGAAATAAAGTTAACATGTAGGAGTTGATGACCCAAAAGCACCCTTTCCAATGTGTATCCTTTATAATATTTTTTCATTCAATTTTCATTTTTGCACTTCATCTTTTTTTTTCATTTAATTTTCTTTCTTCCTTAATCCAAGAAGAATAATTCATCAGAAAGGAATAAAACTGAACACATTCACAGGGCAAATGAAAAGCTAAAAAAAGACAACATGCCTCTCACCCTGAAAGTGGGTGAAAAAAATTGGTCTCTCTTTTTAGGATTAAAAAATATATATATTTCGGGATGCCTGGGTGGCTCAGTCGGTTAAGCGGCTGCCTTCGGCTCAGGTCATGATCTCAGGGTCCTGGGATCAAGTCCCACATCGGGCTCTCTGCTCAGCGGGGAGCCTGCTTCTCCCTCTCCCTCTGCTTGTGCTCTCTGTCAAATAAATAAAATCTTAAAAAAATATATATATATATATTTCTTAAAAGCTGTGAAATAGAAAACTTGATTTTTTATGTTAAATAGGAAAGGCAGCATGGGGTTAAGAGGCCAAGGTTTGAAGTACATTAAATCTGGTTTTGGTCCCAACTACTACTTACAGGCATAAGCAATCATTTAAACTGAGTGTCTATTTCCTGTTCTGAAAATTATGGTATCAGTTATAATAGCCAAAATTTAGTGAGTGCTTACTATCTTACAGTCTTATAATGTATAAGCCTTTGTTCCTGTATTTCCTCATTTATAAAATGGGGATAGTGATAGAAGCTACCCCCTAACTCAAGGTCATGGTGAGGATTAAAGGAGCTGAGAGGTTAGGTAACTTGCACATCATCACATAGCTAGTGAAGTAGTAGAGTTAGGATATATACCCAGGTAGTCTGACTCCAGAGACTAAGAATGTAAACTCAAAAGATATAAGGGGCCCCTGGGTGGCTCAGTCAGTTAAGCATCTGCCTTCGGCTCAGGTCATGATCTCGGGGTCCTGGGATGGAGCCCCACATCGGGCTCCCTGCTTCTCCCTCTGCCTCTCCCTCTGCCTCCTGCTTGTGCTCTCTCTCTCTCTCTCTCAAATAAATAAATAAATAAATCTTAAAAAAAAAGAGATATAATGTAAGTGAAAGCATTTTGAAACACAAGTACCTTAGACATTTCAGCCTAAACAATAAACTTGCAGATTTATAAATTGTTGTGTGTTGTACGTCATTTTTCAATTTGTAACAAAGCAACCATTGTGGATATTCCATTTGTGGATGGTTTAGGTTTATGGGTGCTTTTATTCTAGGCTTTGACAAATGGGATATAATCAGGAAGTTTGTCTTAGGCACTTACATATGCAGCTGTTACGTTTTCACATTGGCCCATTTTAATTTGTCTGCTATAGGTAGAAAATCATGATAACCACACAAGACAAAAAAAGATCAATGACAGAAGCCTTAGTTAGATGATTTTTTTTTTAAGATTTTATTTATTTATTTGACAGAGACACAGCGAGAGAAGGAATACAAGCAGGGGGAGTGGGAGACGGAGAAGCAGGCTTCCCGCAGAGCAGGGAGCTCGATGTGGGGCTCGATCCCAGGATCCTGGGATCATGACCTGAGCCGAAGGCAGACGCTTAACGACTGAGCCACCCAGGCGCCCCTAGTTAGATGATTAATAGCATTGTGGAATCATAAAATGCATTATACCTGCATTTAGAGTAATCAAAAGAGATTGTACAGAAATCTTTAGCCGAAATCCGAACTTGTTAATAAATCAGTAAATATTTTCTTAAAAACAAATACAATACACAACTCAAATCGGGGCAAAGTCTTTTAGACTGGTGATTGCCAAGTGAGCCAAGTTTGTTATTAAACACTTTTATGAGTCCCATAACTATAAAATTCAGGATTCAAGGCTATGTTGCTTTAGCAGAAGCAAAGTTTATATCCTCTTTGGTGGAATGTTTTAAATTATGCCCTTGAGCAGCCTATAAAGCCTACAAGTGATAGCTAGAGTGAAAAATGACCTGTTTGGGGCTGAGAATCTGTTGCAAAAGAAACATACAGTTTGCAAAATGCCGTACAAAATGCCGTACAAGGCCATACAATAGTAAGGCCTCCCAAGAGGTGTTTCATTATCGGTCATTTTAATATGAGGACTCACAGGATCTTAAAGATTATCTTTTGGTCTAAAACCTCAGTTTGAAACCTCTGGAAGATTATGGGACATCCTGGAGCTGAGCAGCTCATTAGCGGCTGAGCCAAGAAGGGAGGCCTGTTTTCTGAAGCAAATGTTCATACATCTGGTAGCTTCATCTACATCTGGTGGCTCAAGCTTTCCCATGAGCAACGTTGAATATACAAAGCAGAGTTGCATTACAAACCACAGGAATGCAATTACCTCCTTTAGCACCAATCAGATTGGATGATACAAGTGGGTTGTGGCTTTAAGACTCACGGATTAAGGGG